AGACTCATATTTAGAGGTTCTGCTGTGTTGGTTCTAATGTTTGGGGTCAGTTTGGGGTGGGTTGTTTACCGATGGTGCCTCGGTCCCGGCTCATGGTTAGACTCATATTTAGAGGTTTTACTCTGAGTGTTTCTGTGCTAATAGGTGGTCGGTTTGGGTCGGTTTGGGGTCAGTTTGGGGTTGGTTGTTTACCGATGTTCCCTCGGTCCCGGGACCCGGTTAGACTCATATTTAGAGTTTCTGCTGTGTCAGTTCTAATGTTTCTGTGCTAATAGCGGCTTTCCCACTTTTGGACCAATAAAGTGTTCTTTTCTATTCTATGTTGAGAGGTTTTTAGGTTTTTGGAACCAGTTCTAGGAATTACAGAGTATTCTGATGGAAGATTTGAACCAACACACCAATATCTTAACCTAGAACTTGGTTAGACTCATATTTAGAGGTTCTGCTGTGTTGGTTCTAATGTTTGGGGTGGTTTGTTTACCGATGTTCCCGCGGTCCCTGGACCCGGTTAAACTCATATTTAGAGGTTTTACTCTGAGTGTTTCTGTGCTAATAGCGGTCTGTTTGGGGTCGGTTTGGGGGGGTGGCGTTTTACCGATATTCCCGCGGTCCCGGCTCATGGTTAGACTCATATTTAGAGGTTCTGCTGTATGAGTTCTAATGTTTCTGTGCTAATAGCGCTGTATCAGTTCTAATGTTTCTGTGCTAATAAGCGCTGTATGAGTTCTAATGTTTCTGTGCTAATAGGTGGTCGGTTTGGGGTCTGTTTGGGGTCGGTTGTTTACCGATGGTGCCTCGGTCCCGGGTCATGGTTAGACTCATATTTAGAGGTTCTGCTGTGTTGGTTCTAGTGTTTCTGTGCTAATAGCGGCGTTTTACCGATATTCCCGCGGTCTCTGCTCATGGTTAGACTCATATTTAGAGGTTTTACTGTGTTAGTTCTAGTGTTTGGGGTGGGTTTGGGGTGGGTAGTTTACCGATATTCCCTCGGTCTCTGGACCCAGTTAGACTCATATTTAGAGGTTCTGCTGTGTTGGTTCTAATGTTTGGGGTTGGTTTGGGGTCTGTTTGGGGTGGGTTGTTTACCGATGGTGCCGCGGTCCCGGGTCATGGTTAGACTCATATTCAGAGGTTCTGCTGTGTTGGTTCTAGTGTTTGGGGTCTGTTTGGGGTGGTTTTGTACCGATATTCCCGCGGTCTCTGCTCATGGCGGCCGTGGCGTCGCCGTGGCAACTGAAGAAGACGTCGGCGCCCCCGCTGGGCCTCCCGTCAGGACCGCACTCCAGCAGGATCCGGGCCACGGGCAGCGGGGAGAAGAACTGGGGGGGGGGGGGGGGGTTAAGGGTATTTCAAGGATTAGAATCATTGTATTGTGTTTTTTCATATTAAAAAATATTTTAAAAAAAAATTT